AAAAAAATAAGATATAATAAAAGAAAAAAAAAAGAGGGAGAGGGGTAACATAAGAGGGGAATTATATTATTTCTGGAACAGAGGGGCGACAAGACTAAGTAAGCCAGCTATTGTAGAGTGTAGTGGTAGTGTATTGAGCGTGTCCCCTACAGCGGCTTCATTACCCCTTTTATTCCTCCCTCTGTAATACGGGGCTCGAACCCTCAGGCGACGAGTGCTTTAAAGCTCCATTCCCCCCCCCCCAACACAAAAGCATACATGTTTTTCACACGATACAAAGCAGATACTTTTCTTGAACGTCACAACCGATTTTAAACTCATTAGAGAAGAGCTGTTCGATAGTTCTATATAGTCGAGGCGCGCCTGACTAAAGTTAATTCAAGAATCAAACTGGACGAAATCGCATATGACGATTGAATTGGTGAAGGGGATAAGACACTAAGATATACCCCCAAGGGAGGCATACCCCAGGGGGAAGCATAGCTGAAGAAAGCACTCCCCCAGAGAAACATTCCTTTGGAATTGTTATTTTGTTGTTAAAGATTCGCTACCTGGAACAAAAAGTTCCAGGTAGCACGGGTTATGGAGAGCCCGTAGTGGGTCCTTTGGAAGCATACCCCCAAGGTCAACCCGTTCTCGCACTTTAAGTCAATATTGAGTTATTGAATAAGTGCATATGTGACATACTAATTTATTGTGAATATTTTAGTTTACCTTGAAAAGCTTCATAGAAAACACCGCCCTTACCTAACCTTCTTAGTATGTTAAGATAAGCATCTTATTGCTTCGTAATTACAATTATTACTTAACCTATTATAGGTATAGGTCACATATGCACGTATTTAATAAGTCAATATTGACCTATAAGAAAGTGCGAGAACGGGTTGCCAAGGTAGTATGACTGGACCACTCCTATGAAGCATGTCCTTCAAAAGCATCCTTACCACATGAGACCACCAGTGTCTATATATACAAGAGTTCCCACTCTTGTTACCCAGACACATGAAAGAACACATAAATAACATTAATGGGACATTTAAAACAGTTTTATATCCTGGTCGTTGTTCCCAGGTTACTCTTGGCCCAGAAAAAAAAAACTTGGTATGATGATTATCTCAGCTACGTACCAAATATACTGACCTATTACAAGGCTAGACAAGAAAATTATACACATAATTTTCCGGTTAATATATTAGGTGCAGAGATGGATGATAATCCGTCCCTTGGTAGACAAGTGTAAGATGTTTCAGCTAGATGTACAAAGAGATTTGCATGTCTGAAGAGGGACTCGCATCACATAAATACTAAATGTTTTACCACGGCCAAAATAAGATCTATTATGGAGTGCTCGACACGAGTGTGGAATTCCTCTTCACTGTCTTGTATAAACTTAGTTAAAATAAATGTCAAAGTGTCACCGTCTTTCTGAAACCAACTCCTCATACCAGCCTTGATATAGAACTTGGGGAATATACCAAAATAGATTATATATGACTGGAACATGTCCCTTTTTACAATGTTTAGAAAATACACCCAGTTCCCACCCCTCCCTTTTCTCTCTCTCTTCTCCCTACTCAGCTCCTCATATATATATATATATATATATATATATATATATATATATATATATATATATATTAGTATATTTTGGTAGCAGTCTTTCCTGTAGACATATATTATTAAATATGACCGAAAAAGTAAGATTAATAATTCTAACACGAATTTTCTCAATCTTTCGTACATTTCTTTTCACTGTTGGAGGTAAATCAAAAATCAATTCTCCAAAATTCATTTTTATTTCTAGTCTGACGCGACACGAGCACGTTTCGTAAAACTTATTACATTTTCAAAGACTTTAGTTTACAAATACACAACTGAATAGAACTTACGCATCTCCGATTTTATATCTACATTTGAGAGAGGTGGATGGGGTGAGGTGGCATTAATAGGGTATTAATTTCATCAACACAAGACAGAACAAGAGGTGGCATTAATAGGGTATTAATTTCATCAACAGATGAAATTAATGAAATGAAAATGTTGATGAAATTAATACCCTATTAATGCCACCTCTTGTTCTGTCTTGTGTTGATGAAATTAATACCCTATTAATGCCACCTCACCCCATCCACCTCTCTCAAATGTAGATATAAAATCGGAGATGCGTAAGTTCTATTCAGTTGTGTATTTGTAAACTAAAGTCTTTGAAAATGTAATAAGTTTTACGAAACGCGCTCGTGTCGCGTCAGACTAGAAATAAAAATGAATTTTGGAGAATTGATTTTTGATTTACCTCCAACAGTGAAAAGAAATGTACGAAAGATTGAGAAAATTCGTGTTAGAATTATTAATCTTACTTTTTCGGTCATATTTAATAATATATATATATATATATATATATATATATATATATATATATATATATATATATATATATATATATATATATATATATCCAGGATTCGAACCCATGCCGTTCAGGATCACCCTTAAACGTACA